TGGTTAAAAGCAGCAGCAGAGGGGGACATAACGGACTGCGAGGTCGGGGAACTGGGGAACATGCTCAGAGCTGAGGCCATGTCCATGAAAGTAGGGGCCGAGGCTGATGATCTCGGGGAAGGCAGACCCGAACCAGTGGAGACATACAGGGGACGAAGCTCCTCCTGTGTGTGTGCGAAAAAGCAAACCTGTCGGGCACAGCTCGTGCCATCCTTGCAGAGGCGGGTACGGTACTGGGCCGGATGGAGCCAGCACTCGAACACGCCGTGGGCATACTCGCACATGTCACCACGCCTGCAGGCGCCCTTTCGGAAGTCCGGGCACGGCACACAGCTGTAGTGGAACTTCCGCGGGTCCCGCCGGCGGGCGTTCTCTCCCGGGTGAACAAAGGGACACTCGGTCCAGTCGTGGGAGTAGGCCCTCGAGCAAGGCCGAACTTTGAAAGAGAACATGCGAAACTCGTCCGTGGAGAAGATGCTGTTCCTGATGTCTGGAAGAGACGGGTCCACTGGATACTGTTTCTTTTCCGAAATGGAGTTAGCAGCGGGAAGCTTTCCCTGTGCTGTAGGGGAGGACAAGGAGTAGGATGGAGAATGTGGGGACCGGTTTTCTGGGGACGACGACAGCACAGGTGAAGATACATTGGAGTTGGATATGGAGACATGTAAATTGCAATCCCCAACCAATCCATCAAAAGTATTGTTCCTAAGCAAGTCCTCAATGTAGGCTTTCACAGCAGGAAGCTTTGGAGGGACAACTATTACATCCGATGGGCGACGGCCACTTGAATCCATAACATTGGGGTCAGCACCAGCAGATAACAGAAGCTTAATGACATCAATTGCATTGACTGAACCTCCAAAGGCAGCACAATGGAGTGCAGTCCATTTGTCAAGGCCACACGACCTGTTCAGATCGACTTCAGGCAGAGTAACTATCAGCTTCAACACATCAAGGCTTCCATAGGTGGCGGCTACCATCAATGGAGTTCGTTCTTCCAGGGTGATCTGCTTCGAACCCATCTTGCGGGCATACCAAGGTCCAGGCTCATCAATGCCAGGCAAATCGAGCTCAATGCATCTCTTGAAAGCTTCGGCATCGTTGTTGGCGGCATATTCAAGCAAGCTGAAAAAGGGGCCACCCATCTCTGAAGATAATTTGTTTAAGTCCATGTTGTTTGATGTATTGTCGGAAGATGTCTTGGTGGTAGAACTTGTATTTGATTGATCAGGCCCACTGCACATACTCTAGTCAACTGCAAGTCAACATATATAATTTGTTATGTAAAGCACTTATGATGGCTGTAAGGCCTTGATGAGATACACATAAAGGAAATACAGAAACTTCTTGAAATGAAAATAGAAAGGACCACGAGTAAATTTTTAAGGGTTAGTTGTCCCTAAACAGCAATAAAATCGACCAAGGGAAGCTAATATTTCTTAATTCAACCACAGACACAGTTTCAGAAATTGCAAAATATCTAAATACTTGCAGATCCACCATCAGAAGGTAATTCTACAATTCAACGCAGCCGCACACGCAGCTAAATATACTGTTAGAGCATAAACAAAATACGAAAAGCACACTATCATACCAAAGATTGTCACAAAAAACAGGCCACCAATTTTATGCAATACCGTATACGCAGCATATGTTTTACAACCCCACTTTAATCTTTAAGATAAGGAACAAAGTAAACTTCAAAATATATGAAATCTAAAGCTACCCCCTTTAGAGAAAAGATCCACAAATTTTCAATACAGAAACAGAAAAAAAGAGAAGTCTCACTCCATTTTTTTCTTTTTTTAAAAAAAGGCGAATAATTCTAACATGCTTATTAATATACCCACCCAGTAAGACAACAACACTAAGGTGAAAGGCATATGTTCACCATATGCTCACAACTGTGGCAACTCACGATCCACAAAAACTCTCGAGTATACTAAACCACACAAAGCATAATAATCACTATTAAAAATATTTTTCTTTAAAAAAAAAGTACAATCATCATCACCACTAGGCAGTGCAGCATCAGAATCGCGTTCAGAGACCGCTAAATCGTTTCTAATACCCTTAAAACACTAATTAAATCAAATCGGAAATACATACGGCAAAACAGATCCGTTCAAATTCAAGTCAACGACTGCACAAATCAAATCAAGCATAGCTAAAGTGGGAAAAAATAAATAATGGAACAAACAAATCGAAATGAACTCACCAAAGATCCCAAAAAACGAAACCTTCACCCAAGATCTGCAAGCAAGACCATATCATTATTCAATTAAACCAACAGCAAGATACAGAAACTGACGAAATCTGTAACAGACAGACAAGACGATCTTCTTCACAGCAAAGACTTTTACGAGCAACGAAAAGAAGAAAAACGCGAAGTTCTTACGCTACATACATAGAGGTGTGTGTGTGTGTGTGTGTGTGTGTGTGTGTGTGTGTGTGTGTGTGTGAATAGGTTGGAGGAAAAATAGGGAAAGAAATGAAAGGAAGCTTTTTTAGCACTGTAGTTTTTAGTGAGAGAAAGTGGTTTAGGTGTAGTGTGCCCTAGAGAGAGAAAATTGAGTGTGAAGAAGGGCGGTTTTGAAATTGAAATGGAGACTGGATGGGAGAATGGAAATTGACATGAAATTGAAATGTAAATGTAAATGTAAATGAAATGACGTTGAAATACACGAGAAATGCAGTGGGGAATGTGAGTCAAGTTCGGATGTAGGTCCCACTGGAAAGGAAAAGGGGTATTGCACGGCAGTGCTACTACCGTGTGCCTTGGCACACCTAGCAAGGTGTACCAAGGCAGTTTAACATGAACATGTTTCATTACAAAATGAACATGTGTAAACATATTTACACATGTTCATTTTGTAATGAAACATGTTCATTTTAAAAAAGCTTTGGCACACCTTGCTAGGTGTGCCAAGGCACACCTAATTATTTGCGTATTGGACGGTGTGGCCGAGTTTGGTTTTATTAATTAGAGTACAATATCGTGTAGTAGTATTTGTTAATAAAATTATACTCGTCATATTTTTATTATTCGTCATTCTAGTTAATTGATCATATTTTTATTATTCGTCACTCTAGCTTAATTGATCATTGATTAAATAAATATCGTTTTGACAGTTTTATTCATTATTTTATAATTTTAACCCTCCATCTAATGCACAGTGTCTCTTCATATTTCATCTCATAACATTCATTAAATAGGGTTAATATTGGCAAGAAAAAAAAAATTCTTAATTAGCGTGTTGCTTCTCTAAACGACAAATAATAAAAATAGGAGGGAGTATTTAATTTTAAATAATAATAAAAATTGTTTAATTTCTAAATAATTTATAAAATAAATTTAAATTGATACTGTCATTTACATGGCTTACCATCCTATAATATCTCTATATATAATTCCCGAATGCGTTGAGTCTACGTGGCTGCTTCTGGTGTTTTGAAATCCTAGTTGGTGAAGAATCATGCTTCATAATTAGGTTTGGACAAATAATATTGATATATTAATAATTAGTAATCTAGATTCGGACATTCCATAAATATTATTTAGCTAACTTAGATATTTTAATATCACTTGTGCTAATATAACCATTTAATTCTTTATATTTCACATAGTGAGACACAAAGTGACTAATATATCCCTGACTTTTGATTTGCTTCTTTTAATTAGCTATTGAATTGTAAATGTATTTTAAAAGTTGATAACTTTTGTATTTTTTATCGGTTTTGCATATATAATATATCAAATTAATCATCTTTTGATTATCTTCGATTTGACATTTATATTGTATATATTAAATAAATAAATTATATTTATCTTTATAATAATAAAAAATAATAATATTTATTTAAATTCATTATAAATATAAAATTATTTCTCAATTGATATATTTATATTTAATGTAGTTATATATTCTAAGTTAAAAAAATTATTATAATATAACACAGGTAAGTCGCACAAATAAAAAAGTGTCACACTAAATATATAATAACTAGTGTGTATCTCGTGCGATGCACGGGTATATAAATTTGGAGAATATTATAATTTGACATGCATTAAGATTTATGGAAGTTTAATACATACGAACATTATTCATCACAAAATGTTCGTCATGAAAAAATCACATATTATTAAAAAAATTTGTACACAACATTATAAGTTTGATTACTGGATAACTCGTTGTAAGGAGCACGGACCGACGCGGGCTGCAGAAACTGGGCCTCCCTCAACTGGGCTCCCTTGCTGGGCTTCTCTCTGTTGGTGTTATATACTTAAGCTTTGCTTTAGTGGATATTACACTTGTTATTCCTTGATGAATGAGAATTATGTTTGGTTAAATAAGTTCCACGTTCTGTTGTTTTGCATGTAGATAAGTGGGTCGTCATCGGGCGTACCAAAGATCACTATATCAGTTACTTGCGAAACAAGAATCGTTGGTTCACAACCTAGATGGAATTGAACAACCCATCGGAACGGTTGTAGTGTCAACCGTACGGTTTGTCTTGACCGATTAGTTGCACTAGTACATTTATGTATTGAACAGGATCCCAGAGAGGGATGTTCGTTTTATACTAATCGTCGTAAACGAACTAGGCCTCAGTTAATTATTGCGTGCTCTTAACCCGTAAGATATTAAATAGGCATGTGCACATGATTGTTGTTGCTTTGATTCTTTGGATGAGATCCAAGCCGGGTCGACATACTTAATGAATTGGGTAATAACATTGTGTGTTCGATGTGCTATTAGGATATTTACGGTCACCATGTGCGTTAGTATGATGATGTCCCCGAAGTGAGTTCATGAAGGAATATTATGCTAAACCCTGCAGGTGGATTTTTACCCCGCTAGCTTCGGTAAGATAATATATTAATTAATTCTTCATTATTAGTGATCGAATTAATTAATGGACATTATATCTTAAACATGGGGAGGTAAATCGGATAATTATAATAAGGAGTCTCAAATGTA